TGAATGACCCGGGTGCTATTCCGCACAAACAGCCCGAACTTTATGAGATATAACATGCGTTTGATCTCTCTGTTTCCTCTAGATATGAAATAATGCTAAAATGTTGGCAGGATTTGCCGTTGCACAGACCAACCTTTCAAGAATTAGTCCAAGAGTTCGACGCTATGTTGGTATCGTTATCGGACAAGGTTAGTGTTATTTTCTTGATCACCGCTTGATGGGCAGTGTTTCTCTTTATTGTTTCGCATTCTTTTTATTCTGTTGCTTGTCAGAATTTCTTAATAATTATAAACATCATCTACGCCATCTTTTAAAAAGTTCCTTTTTCTATGTTGAGGGAATGCCCTTATTGCAAGAAGAAAGGGTGCACGAACACAACATAGTTGTTTAAATGAAAAGCTTTAAATTGTGAACAGCCACTCTCAACGTTCCATTTTCATTCCCTTTTTAATTCTTCTGTTCCTTTCTATAATTTGATAATACTTACGTCGTCTGCCTCTAGTTTCCTTTTTCTAAGTCGAGAGAAAATCCCTAGTGTAAGAGGAATTGGTTGATTGTTTAACTGAAATCAACCCAGTATTTTAATTACTTTCCAGGAATATCTTGATTTAGATGCAGCATTAATGAGTCCTTTGGAACCACAAACACCGACGTCATCAGAACCAACTTCAACTCCACGAAATTCGTTAGGAACTGATCATTACACGGATAATGATGACAGAGACACTGATAATGTATTCGTTGACAATCCAAAGGATGTATGGGAATGCAGACAACATACACCCACAGCTCTAAGAAGAGATTCAGAAAGCATGGACACTAAGAAAATAAATAGCGTCGAACAACTGGACAAAAAATACTCGGTACAGGAACGAGCCGGTAATACCGGCGAGGACAAAAAACAAACTCGCGTTGTTGCGTCTAGCGTACCAATACAAAGTGATGTGTAATCAAGAGTATTTATACGCAACGCACGTTGCATCAGCTTATGGTGAAGACAAAGTTCACGCATGAGTTTGAGTCACGCACGCAGTACGGTTATTTAGTCACGTGATCTTGATCGATGGCTCATGGGTGGTATGGAAGAGAGTCAATGGATAGCCACAGAGATGTACTCGAATGGCAGTATACACAACATGAAAGTATAATTAGAATTCAATGAATTGAAATTCCTAAACGAAACAAACACAAATTATCAAATGGGTTTTCTGTTAACTTTGGAAAGCCGACTCAACAGAGGTTTTTTTAAGCTATGTTGGTTAACTTTATAATCGTGCGGAAGTATGAAAGGCAAGGTTAACCCTTGAACTCCCACAAGTGACCAAAACAGAATTTCTCCTTACAGTATCAGTACAATATCAAACAGACAAGTAATGAGAAATAATAAAATGTGAATTAGGGGATTGTAAGTTGATCCAATACCAAATTCTCCAAAGTAACATCATAAGAATTATATGGCAGACAGTAAGGAGAATTGCTAAGGAGATCTCGGGAGTGAAAGGTTTAAGTAAAGCAGGATACATGACACCCAGGTTTTTTTTTTTGTGCCTTTTTAACAAACATTAAACTTGTGTGTTAATTTTCTGTCTCACATCTGGATACAACCCAAAATTAAAGGAAGTCAGAGATAGATTACATATAGCGAATTATGAATAAAAAGTTCTATCATTAAAAGGAAAATTTTGTGATTTCAAGGTTTTGATTGTCACTGTTTATATCATTCATTAGACTTGAGTAAATGTTAGATGACATAAATAAAAGCCTCCATTTGACGCGAAAATATGATTGAATATTTGTCCGTGAAGCGAACAGTTTTCCAAGGGCAAAGTTCGAGAAACTTTTCGAGTCTCGAGGGACAGCAAACGTCTAAGGATAAATAAACTTGGACGTTTTTCTTCCAAAGTAAAGCTGTTTGTCTCAGTATCCTTCAAATATTTTTTGTAGCGCGAGTAGAAGTCGTTTAAAAACAGCTTGTAGTCCAAAAATTTTACTATACGGGATGTTGATCTTTTCATTTTTTCTAGTAGGACAAGTTATGATAAAAGCAACTCTCTTCTTCTGTAACTTTACTAGAACAAGACACTCCGTTATCTTGAATCATCATATAAACGAAGACTTCATTAGGGGACATGTGGAAACTGAGGGATATTATTGGATATTCTTCAGCTCGAGCTGGAGCGTTTTCGGTAAAGAGACGCGTTCGTGGGCAAAGATATCCAATTGGTTATGAATGTGGACATGCCGACATGATTCATTCTAACGCTCAAACTGGTACTTGTAGATAGCGCTCTTTGTTTGCGATAAATATGACCACACCTTTCTGCAAGGCAATTCAGGGGGTCTGATCAGCACCTATCGGTCACTTAATCGCTTATAAAACTGTAACCAAAAATCCGTGGCGCAAGTCTTTTTCCAAGGAAAAACCCAATTCGTAAAGTGATAACTAAATTTTCACACGCTGAACGGTTGGATTGCATTATCCCTCTCAACACGACTGGCGTGAAATGGCTGATATATATTTGCGGCGCTACGTTGCTGTTTGACTGAAGAAACAACCACCATCTCAAGGGAAACATTGATCTTTCCTATCCCTGTCAGTTACTTTGTAACTTCAGTCTTCAGATCAACACCCGAGGGGCTCAGGTACACCTAAACTGAGTTCAAAGTTTACCTAAACTATCACGTGCCCGGCAACGTTGTATCAAGCAGTAGTCAGAATATACTGAAATTGTTGATTGCAAGTACAACATTATTGAGTAAAAGTACCCTTAAGATCTGCAGAAATTTTCCTTTCGCTAATCAATCCTCACCCTCTGTACTGATCCAATTAGACTGACGTCACACCACGCCATCCATACACGTGGATAAAACTTGTACTTTAGTCGCCGTTTCAAAATAAACTGAACCCGCGACTTGCAGTTCATTATCATTTACACGAAATTCTCCATCTGAGTTTTATGTGGGAAAAAAGACCGCCCTTATCGCATTATCCTGAATTTCGTGACACAAAAGAAAAACTTTGAGTTGCCTGTAACACTTGTGCTCGAATACCGGTTTCTAACAAGAATGACACCGGCGAACTCGAGAGGATGTGCAAAAGTTGGTCCGAAGCCAAGAAAACCGCTATGCTTTGATTCTGGTAAAGTACAGTTTACTCTTTTTCGTAACGAAAGGTAAGTCTATTAGTTTGATGATTTAAGTTGTTTGAAAAGTATTTTGTGTTTCTCCGAGTAATTTCACCCTCGTATCAGTATAACGAAAGTTTTTTTGCCAAGCTGTTACGTTCTGAGATCAAAATAAACTGATCTTTGTTATGTTAAAAAAATAATTAAAAATCGTTATTATAAGGCATTGAACAACAATTGTTAAAAGCTAAGAGAAATGAGGCATCGGCGCGGTGTGATTGGTCAGGTGATGTTCACTCGTACTCAGGGTATTTTGACGATCAAAAGAAACAGTCTCTTTGGAACCGAATGAATTTCCAACGTATTTAACACATTTACAATGATCTCCTAAACTCAGTTCATCGCGGGAAACCAGCCAACATCTCTTGAGCCACTTATCTGCCACAGATGGCTGCAACCGGTAAAAGCGCATGCCCCCAACACAGTAAGATGAAACACTCCCAGCGTTCCTTTCAAACTTGATTCATTGAACCAGGCGTTTAGACCAGTCCGGCGTTCAAAAAAACGGAGTGAAATTTTCTCCTATCACTTTAGGTTAATTTTTGTCCCATTCCCTTAGAGCTTAGTTGGCTAAGACAGTACAATTTTCCCCTCGTCCAACTCTTAGCTATAGCTGGATCTCCTCCGAAGCTTTTTTTCTTTTGAATATTTTCACGTCTGAGATAAAGAAATTAAATCAGCCTTATTTTGTAGCATGCTGTTTAATAGAGTGTAGTTATTTGTCATTACACGTAAATAAAAGCCGGGATGCAGAGCAAACGTCGGTTGGTAACTAACCCTTTAGCCCCTAGGGGTTACTTGCATCTAATTTCTCCTCACAGAATCACTGCTAAATCAAACATTGAGGTTATGAGATTAGCGGAAATAGATAGATAGATAGATAGATAATAATAGATAGATAATAATCTTTAGACAGGGTGTGTTCTCAGATCACAGAAGTGGTTTTCAGAACGGCCCTGTAAGCACCCACCCATCCCACCCCAGGGGAGGACATCCATCACACAGTATACTCGTGCGTGGGAAATTAACGTCTCCTATCTCTAACCCTGCAGGAGACGGGACCTCCATTTATTCGTCCCTATCCGAGGGGACTAGAATATCTAACCATTTCTCGATGTTACAGAAAGGAAGCATATTCTTCTCAGTTATTTTAAGACCCTGAGTGTTGGTCCGGCCGGGGCTCGAACCCTCGACCTCCCGCACAACAGTCCAGCGCTCTATCCATTGAGCTAACCAGGAGGTGGTAAAATGATCACCAACTACAGAAGCTATTTTTGAACTATTGTTAAGCTATTGTTAAACTAAGTCTCCGTGTCAGAACCGTCACTAAGAAATGCATAGAGAACAGTCTGAAGAATATGCACGATTTATTCAAGGGAGAGAGTAATTTAGATTCTCAGTCTTAGGTTGAAATGTTTTGAAGGTTAAAGGGGAACACGAGATGCTGGAAATGAATTAGAAATGCATGCGCATTCAATTTGTGATCAGTGGTAAGTATGGCAATGGGGGTTCTAAGCTTGCAAATTGTGAAATTTTACAAAGCGTAACGTTAATAAAGAATTTGTTTTCCAAAAATAAGCACAAGGGCATAGATTAAGGGTACAAAGTTCCCCTCCTCTGCCCCTCAACTTAATTAAGAGTACTTGGAATGAGAAAATACCTAGGGGGTTGATTGCGATTTTACGGTTTTCTATGTTATGAGTCCAAAATGGTTATCCTTCGACTGTTTGGTGTCCCAATGCAACCGGCAACGTCCTCTCATGGCGAACAAAACTGTTCTATTACGATCACGTGATTTTTTACATCTAGTCTTACGTAGCAGCTTTGAGTGTGGCATATTCTTTTGCAGCTAGACTCTCGACGCAAATAATCTGAAGTAATAAAACGATTTGATTTTTTAAATTTCAAAGTGAGTTTAAGATTTATGCTGTACGTCTAACAGACTTGAACGGTTCAGAGTCCATTTCCGAATCACTTTGATCGATCTATTTTAGTCATGTAGTCTGACGAGTATAGCTCCTACCAGTTAGATAAACAGGAAATTGCAACAAAGACAGCTAGAAAAACAGGAAACTTGGCAGTTTATTTTGTTTTCACGACGTTAATAAACGCGAGGTCCTTTATTTGGAAGGTCTGGTCCACAGTTCTGTTGTAAACTTGGTGATCCAGGGGACTGGAATTCAAAGAACGAGAACAGTTCATATCTGAACTACGTTGAAGGTAAAGATGCAATGCTTGGCTTTTGAAAAAAACCCAAATGGTTTTCTGGTTCTATGATTACAAATATAATTTGCTCTAATACTCGTCATGTCACAGGAAATGCTTTGAATTCATTCACTTGAAAGTCCGGTGAAGACAATACCCGAATTTTTTAATTTGAGTTACGAAATTTTCCCATAGAGATTTTAATGTGATAAACTTTGAGTTGTATTCAATACCATGAAGTCTACTATGCATTTAAAACGCATTTTCAGAGAGAACCTTTTGTTCTATTTGCATCGAAAAGAAAGTATTTTTGAAACCAAACTTGATTACTTTCAAAACTTCTGAAAGCTTAGTTGTTTACCTGTTAACAGTTTAATGATAGTTCATTTACTTAAGGCACACGGAGGTTAGTTTTTTCTAAGGTAATGTTTTTCGTCACCAGATACGCACGAGAAAAGTCTTTCTTTTTGGTGTTTTTAAGGCTGTGGTGAAGCTACATCTCTGCTGAACTTCGCTAGCAGATAATTGCGTGATTGATATGCTGCAAAAATCCACCGCCTCTCGGTTACGACTTACCTTTGTTTGAAGAACTTCCGGTCGAGTGGAGCTCTTTGTAACGAAGGTCCTTGCGCACTGAAACAAAGGCCTCCTGATGTTAATGTCAGGATTAGGCAACCACTGAATCGATCAGGCATTGTGTCAGCACTGTTGGGTTAAACGCGACGAAGGAACAGAGGAGTCGAACTGTGTAAAAGATTTCAAAGCCGGCTGAAAATATATTTTTATTTGAGTCGCTTTGTCTTTCCCAGGAAAACAGATCAAGGTGGGTTGATTAATTCCATTAGAGGTTAAACCAAAAAACAGCCACTCTGTGGGAGTAGATGATCTATGCGCTAAATGAGAAAAGTTTGATGAAAGCTACTTCGCAACTATCTTTCCGAAGTCGCGACTTAATTGAGAGAATTTTTGTTGTCTTCAGTCG